AATTATTATTATTATTATTAATAATATTATTATTGTTATTTATTTATTTTTATGTGGACATGAAGGGGACAGGGCTAGCATGGAACATAATGGACCAAAAATGGCCAAACAATATATAGATAGAGCAAATTTAATATTATAGTATTATCTGTAGAGCACTTGAAGTTTGAAAATAGCTGGAAAAGGCAACGGTTCCCAAGCAAAATGTTTCTCAAAGCTTTTATATTCCCCCTGCTACCCACACTCCTGCCCTTGGAGGTCTACCTTCTTCTGTTTCCTTTAGTCCATTGTCGCCTTCAGGTTTCTGGATTAAAAACGGTATTGGAGTGGCCTAGGGGGGTCTAGGCTGCCTCTGGAACACACTGCTGCCAGCATGGGTTTGAATCTGGCCCACTGCTATTTCAGCACACTCTCTCCTCCCATCCTTCTTCTCTGTCTCTATCCTATCCAATATATATATTTTTTTTATATGACAGGAGTGGGACTGCCCCACTTCCTTTTCTTCTCTGTCGTTCTACCTTTTCATCCTCCATCCTTTGTGTGGTTTTTGTCATGATTAGTTCTACGAATATTATGTGTATCTCTTTCATCTCATGAAAGGGAAGTATGTGGTTGCACACACACTCAACTCCTCCCTCATTTAATACAGTTGCCTTCAGATGGGAAGACTTGCTATAGGCTCTCTCTACTCGGCTCTGTACAATCAACAACATCGCAACATGAGGCACTCTAAAATCAATCACCACATGAACTGCAACTGGTGTTAATTGATGAGTCTTCATCAGCTGCTTCCCTCTCTTCCTATTTAGCATTGGTCCATTACAAACTCAGCCTGCCTGTGAGAACTCTATTCTGCAATGTGCGCACGCTAATCAGTCCATTTGTCAAAGCCCAGCGAACCATAGTTATCATCTCTCTAAGATCCTCACTAAAACAAAGGCTGTAATGAAGAGTTTCTGCCCAGCAACAAAGGCAGAAGGTAAATGAAGGAAAGAGGAACACAGACTGGCTGCATCCCAAATGGCACCTTAATCCCTATATAATGCATTACTTTTGAACAGCGCCCATGACATATGGTCAATCCAGGTGAAAGCTATGATCCCTTATTGATGTCACTTGTTAAATCCACTTCAATCAGTGTAGATGAAGGGAAGGAGACAGGTTAATGAATGCTTTTTAAGCCTTGAGACAATTGAGACATGGATTGATTATGTTTGCCATTCAGAGGGTGAATGGGCAAGAGAAAAGATTTAAGTGCCTTTGAACGGGCTATGGTAGTAGGTGCCAGGCGCACCGGTTTGTGTCAAGAACTGCAACGCTGCTGGGTTTTTCACACTAAACAGTTTCGTGTGTGTGTCAAGAATTGTCCACCACCCAAAGGACATTTAGCCAACTTGACACAACTGTGGGAAGCATTGGAGTCAACATGGGCCAGCATCCCTGTGGAACGCTTTCAACATCTTGTAGAGTCCATGCCTCGACGAATTAGGCTGTTCTGAGGGCAAAATATTAGGAAGGTGTTCTTAATGTTTTGTACACTCAGTGTAGATCCCATTCTTTTGTTTCATGCTGCATCTGAGGCACCCTGCTGGGAATTGTTATAATGAGCACATATGAAAAAGGTTTCACACTTGGTGCTTTCTATCAAACACATAGACCCCCACAGGCGATCCTTATTACAATTACTCCTACTTAATAATAATACAGAAACACAGAGGCAGGAGATAGAGATATAAAGTGGTGATTATAATATGAAGTGTGGAAACGGATAAATGTATAGAGAGTGGCACGGTTGTAATGGTACAGTCCACAACTACCTAAGAAGTGAAAAGAGAATGGTTTCTCCCACTTAGGTGTGAGTCAAGTGTATGCAAATGTTGTGTTACTGTCTGCCCAAGAGGTGCCTCTCAACTGTCTGTAGTCGTCTGTGGTGTGCATGTATGTGTGTGTTTGTGTGGGTGTTCATCTGTCTGAGAGGTCTGACATATCGCTTTTTCCCATGGCTTCACAGCCCAACAAGTACCTGCTCCGCCCACTTCACCTGTAAGAGTCCCTTGACAACAAGGGCAGGACCTGATGATCCCCTTGAGGGCCGTCCTCCACAAAGCCTTTTTAAAATTCACACTGAAAACTTTTGTAAACGTAATGTAATAACTTAGAAAGCTTTTATTCATGTAATGGACTTCCAACTTTCCATATATAAAATAAAAGGGGAAAAGCACAGGCTAAAGCACAATGACAGTGATAGGACGATGACCCATGACGTTGCCTGATTCTGTTTTAAGAGGAGAAAATGAATGTTGCCATGAGAGACAGATGGTTGCTATGACGAGGTATTACTTGACAAGAATAACCATAATAGAACGTTCTCAGAAAGGAGTATCCATAGCTAGCTACTGTCAATGCCCAGTATACATAAAATATGTCAAGATATTAATTTCCATATTCAAGTTAACCATGTTGCATTACTAGTAAACACCCAATTAACTTTAATTAACTGACATCTTAAAAGAAGGTTCAGGATGGCAACAGCAACAATTCCCTTTAATTATATTTATTGTTAAGCCTACTTAAGGGCAACGTTTTGGAGCAAGGTCCTTCGTCAGATAACCAGCACACTACAACAATCAAGTTTAACATACCGGTACTTTAAATAAATAAATAAATTGGTCATTTAGCAGACGCTCTTATCCAGAGCGACTTACAGGAGCAATTAGGGTTAAGTGCCTTGCTCAAGGGCACATCGACAGATTTTTCACCTAGTCGGCTTGGGGATTAGAACCAGCAACCTTTCGGCTACTGGTACAACGCTCTTAACCACTAAGCTACCTGCCGCCCAAAGTTTAATTAACTTTGACATACCAAGATCGACCCAAACATCTTGTGGATTCAATACACTTTCAATACACCCACCTTTACCCTTGAAAAACACAATTGAAAGAATTTACAATGAAAGAATGTCACCTTTGAGCTCAAAGCAACTGCTCACTTTGAAAAGATCTATTGATATTTTAAACAAAACAAGTTTTGCACCAAGAACGGTACAGATGTCTTTCACAATTGGCTATACATCAGACTTCTCCAAAGTGACGTGATGTCACTTCAATCAGTGTATATGAAGGGGAGGAGACAGGTTAAAGAAGGATTTCTAAGCCTTGAGACAATTTAGACATGGATTGTGTGTGTGTGCCATTCAGAGGGTGAATGGGCAAGACAAAAGATTTAAGTGCCTTTGAATGGGGTATGGTAGTAGGTGGCAGGTGCACCGGTTTGCTGGGTTGTTCACGCTCAACAGTTTCCCGTGTGTGTCAAGAATGGTCCACCACCCAAAGGACATCCAGACAACTTGACACAACTGTGGGAAGCATTGGAGTCAACATGGGCCAGCATCCCTGTTGAACGCTTTCAACACCTTGTAGAGTCCATGCCCTGACGAATTGAGGGCTGTTCTGAGGGCAAAGTGAGATTTGAAGTGTCAAAGCTAAACAAATCCTAACAGTTTATCAAAGAAATTCATATTTCATTGGCATTGCATAATGAATTAAGTAAATGTTTAATTAATTTGAGGATTGCACTGGGTATGCATCAAATTATAGTTTGTATTGCCTGTCTCTATACCTTGATGAGTAGTGTGAGTTTGAACCATATTTATTTAAATTCCCCTCATGAACAACATCTGTAAATGGTATTATGACATTAAAATGCGAGGAAATGAAAAAACACTAATACTGTATATACAAATACAATTACACCAAAACATACAGTATATAATAATATGCCATTTAGCAGACGCTTTTATCCAAAGCGACTTACAGTCATGCGTGCATACATTTTTGTGTATGGGTGGTCCCGGGGATCGAACCCACTACCTTGGCGTTACAAGCGCCGTGCTTTACCAGCTGAGCTACAGAGGACCATATGTATTCATATTAACATATATATTTACAAAACATCCACACCGAATAGTCATGATGACTTCTTAGACAATGTACAAATGTATGGATAAAAAGTACTACGCAACATTCAGTGAAGCTGAAACATGTATTTATGGTGCCATTGCAGTGTAGGTACTAGTTACTGAACATACTGTACAATATAAGTGGTATGTGAACGTTGTTCATTGAAATGAAACTTAACATACATTAGCTAGATTGGCAAACCAAAACTACAGTAAGGGATTGTGCTGAAACCTGCCTTCCCTGAAGAATTTGAATAAAATGGCTGATACAATATCAATCTATTCACTTAGTCATACTCATACTGGTCATTTATGACTGTGTATGCATTTATTCATTGATTTGTACATTTAGCTATGAATCATCTATACTCTCACACTTTTACATTACCCACTGAATATCATTAGCAAATAATCTATTAATATCCTTATGTTTCAGTACCTATGTTTACTGTACTGAGTACCATGTGTAGACCAGTACTCAATAATAAGTCACATCCTGACTATTGTAAACATCTCCTCTCAGGCTCAGGCTGATCCCACTCACTGATCACTACACACATTGAATGATAGCATTCTTCTATTCCTCTTCTTCTTCTTCTTCTTCTTATGTTCTGATCGATCCATTAACTGTTCCCATGTAGACATACATCATTGCTCCCATACAGTGATTCAATACAATGTCACTGACTATACAAGGGTTGCAAAAATCCGGCAACTTTCCCAAAATTCCAAGTTTTTCCAGAAATCCTGGTTGGAGGATTTCGGATTTCCTGCTTATTACTTCCTGATTCTGGCAATCTTTCAACCGGGTTTTCTGGATTTTTGCAACCCCACCCTGTACATTGATTCAATACACTGTTCCTGCCTGTACACTGTTCAAATTCAGTGATCCAATACACAGTTCTTCCTATACACCATTATTGTACCCTGATCCATACACTGATCTCATACCATCTTCCACTGGCCATACCAAGTCTCCCTTGGAAAAGGGGTCTTGTTAAATAAAGGTTCAACAAACAAAAAATGTGTCATACAACGGGCCTCAGTGGGCGGCCATATTGGCAGGCAGCAGCTCCCTGGAGCTCTGATCCTGCTGGGGTCTCTCAGGGGCCAATCTCAGACTAACACTACCCTCTGTGGTGCTAGTGGGTTTGACCCGGAACTTCCTGTGGACCGGCCGCATGGCCACGATGAGCTGCCTCTTGAAGGTCTCACTCAACACAATGTAGAGGAACGGATTGATGCAGCTGTTAATGTAGCCCATGCTAATGGCTATGTTGTAGGCATAGGAGAAGGCTTGGCTGGGGTTCTGGACTCCAACGTGAACCAGCTGGAGGATGTAGTAAGGGGCCCAGCAAATGAAGAAAGCCAGGCAGATGGCCACCGCCATACGGGTTACTTTCTTGGTGCGCACCCTCAGGCTCCTGGGGGGCAAGGGGGCCACACTGGTGGCCATGTGCTGGAGGATCTTGAAAAAGACCACGCACATGATGAGGAGAGGCAGGGCGAAAGCCAGGACAAACTGGTAGAGAGTGAACCAGTAGATGTCAGTGGCCGGATTGGGAAGAAGCAGGGCACAGCCCACAAGGTCGCCAGGCAGAGGCATGAGGCCTGCGTACATCCACACCGGGATGATGGTCAGCAACGACAGCGTCCATACTAGACCGATAACCCCGGTTGCCACGCACGGCGTCCGAATGTAGTTGAAGCGGATGGGGTGGACCGTGGCCAGGTAGCGGTCCAGAGTCATGACCGTGAGGATGTAGGTGCTCACTATCTGGCTGTTGGAGTCCAGCGCGGTGATGACTGTGCACATAGTGGCGCCGAAGCACCACGAACCGTTGCCCATCAACTGGTGGATGAGGAAGGGCATCCCGAGGAGGAAGAGGAGGTCGACGATGGAGAGATTGAAGATGAAGATGTCGGGGACAGTCTGCTTGGCGCGGCACTTGGTCTTCTTCAGGATGGTGTAGATGACCATGCAGTTACCCATAATGCCCAGGAAACAGATGATGCCGAATATGATGGGCAAGATGGCATTGTTGTAGTAGGCATCATGATCCCCACCTATAGGGACACAAGAGCAGCAGAGGAGAATGTTATTAAAGTACCGGTATGATATATAATATATCCATAAACCAAACCTGTCAAACATCAATTTACGTAGCCTGGCTGCCGCGACCCAGGTGGTACACTCTTAGAAGGAAAGGTACCTGGAAGAACCTTTTGGGTTGCCACACCGGCGGAACCTTTCCAGTTGAAAAGGTTCCTCAGGAACCCCTCTGAAAAGGGTCTTCGAGGAACCCCTGTGTTCCTAAAATGTGATAGGTCCTGTGTGGCTGCTGATTGACTGAAGGCTCGGGGTGGTTAGAGTTGTCAACAAGGCAGCATGACAAAAATATGATGCCAAGTTTCAATCTACCGGTAGTTTCTTTGAGAAGATATACACCACATGGGCAAAAGTATGCTTGACGAACATCTCATTCCAAAATCAAGGGCATTAATATGGATGTGGGAAGGCTTTCCACTAGATGTTGGAACATTGATGCAGGGACTTGCTTCCATTTAGCCACAAGAGCATTAGTGAGGTCGGGCACAAATGTTGGGCGATTAGGCCTGGCTCGCAGTCGGCGTTCCAATTCATCCCAAAGGTGTTAGATGGGGTTGAGGTCAGGGCTCTGTGCAGGCCAGTCAAGTTCTTTCACAACGATCTCGACAAACCATTTCTGTATGGACCTCGCTTTGTGCACGGGGGCATTGTCATGCTGAAACAGGAAAGGGCTTCCCCAAACTGTTGCCACAAATTTGGAAGCACAGAGTCATCTAGAATGGAATTGTATGCTGGAGCGTTAACATTTCCCTTCACTGAAACTAAGGAGCCTAGCCCGAACCATGAAAAACAGCCCCAGACCATTATTCCACCAAACCTTACAGTTGGCACTATGCAGATTCCTCCGTCGGACTGCCAGATGGTGAAGCGTGATTCATCACTCCAGAGAACACATTCCCATTGCTCCAGAGTCCAATGGCAGCAAGCTTTACACCACTCCAGCCGACGCTTGGCATTGCGCATGGTGATCTTAGGCTTGTGTGCGGCTCCTCTGCCATGGAAACCCATTCATGAAGATCCCGATGAACAGTTCTTGTGCTGACATTGTTTCCAAAGGCAGTTTGGAACTCAGTAGTGTGTGCTGCAACCGAGGACAGACGATTTTTACACGCTACGTGCTTCAGTACTCAGCGGTCCCGTTCTGTGAGCTTGTGTGGCCTATCACTTCGCGGCTGAGCCGTTGTTGCTCCTAGATGTTTCCACTTCACAATAACAGCACTTACAGTTGACCGGGGCAGCTCTAGCAGGGCAGAAATTTGACAAACTGACTTGTTGGAACAGTGGCATCCTATGACAGTGCTGCGTTGAAAGTCACTGAGCTCTTAAGTATGGGCCATTCTACTGTCAATGTGTGTCTATGGAGATTGCATGGCTGTGTGCTCGATTTTATACATCTGTCAGCAACGGGTGTGGCTGAAATAGACTAATCCACTAATTTGAAGGGGTGTCCACATACTTATTACAAATGCTGTGCACAAATTTGTTTACATCCCTGTTAGTGAGCATTTCTCCTTCCCAAAGATAATCCATCCACCTGACAGGTGTGGCATATCAAGAAGCTGATTAAACAGCATGATCATTACACAGATGCTGAGGAGTATTTCTGTCTGTAATAAAGCCCTTTTGTGGGGAAAAACTCATTCTGATTAGCTGGGCCTTTTCCCCACAAAAGGGCTTTATTACAGACAGAAATACTTCTGATTGGCTGGGCCTGGCTCCCCAGTGGGTGGGCCTATGCCCTCCCAGGCCCACCCATGGCTGCACCCCTTCCCAGTCATGTGAAATCCATAGATTAGGGCCTAATTTATTTATTTCAGTTTACAGATTTCCTTATATGAACTGTAACTCAGTAAAATCTTTGAAATTGTTGCGTGTTGCATTTATATTTTTGTTCAGTATACCTATTCAATTATAATATTAATAAAATAACTATTCCAACTTCGGGATTTGCATAGGCTCTTGAGCAACTCATACACCTCTGTCAGCCTCATTAAAACTACAAAATGATCAGTGTTCAACCTTAATGGGTGATGACAATACAACAGAACAGATGAACAGGAATTACATTTACTATAATGGGGTGGCCCAAAAAAAATCGAACTTAAAGCCACACCCCTACTAAGCCACGCCTCCACTCCAGGGTTCCTCCAGGAACCCGATGCTACATTGAACCATTAAAGGTTCCTCCAAAAACACAACTAACCAAAGGTGCAAATATGAACCATTGACTAGCAATGGTTCCTTGAGGAACTCCAGAGGTTCCTTGAGGATCTCCAGGGTTCCTCAAGTCATTACTAATTCTAAGAGTGTACAGAGCCGGGAAGAACTGTGACTCACTGGTCTGGACAGGAGGACGCATTGATTGGTTCTCTCAAATGTAATTTTTTCCCTTGAGGGGTTGAGACCTAGTCTCATACGGTGCCTTCAGAAAGTATTCACCACCCTTGACTTTTTCCAAACGTTGTTGTGTTACATCCTGAATTTAAAATGGAATACATTGAGATTTGTTGTCACTGGCCAACACACAATACCCCATGATGTCAAAGTGGAATTATGTTTTTAGAAATGTTTACTAATTAATTAAAAATGAAAACCTGAAATGTCTTGAGTCAATAAGTATTCAACCCCTTTGTTATGGCTAGCCTAAATAATTTCAGGAGTAAAAATATGCTTAACAAGTCACATAATACATTGCATGGACTCACCCTGTGGGCAATAATAGTGTTTAACACGATTTTTGAATGACTACCTCATCTCCATACCCCACACATACAATATCTATCTGTAAGGTCCCTCAGTCAAGCAGTGAATATTAATCACAGATTCAACCACAAAGACCAGGGAGGTTATCCAATGCCTCGCAAAAAAAAGGGTGCCTATTGGCAGATGGGGGAAAAAAGACATTGAATATCCCTTTGAGCATGGTGAAGTTATTAATTACACTTTGGATGGTGTATCAATACACACAGTCACTACAAAGATACAGGCGTTCTTCCTAACTCAGTTGCCAGAGAGGAAGGAAACCGCTCAGGGATTTCACAGAGGTTAATGGCTGTGATAGGAGAAAACTGAGGATGGATCAACAACATTGTAGTTACTCCACAATACTAACCTAATTGACAGACTGAAAAGAAAGAAGCCTGTCCAAAACATGCATCCTGTTTGCAACAAGTCACTAAAGTAATACTGCAAGAAATGTGGCTTGTCTTGAATACAAAGTGTTATGTTTGGGGCAAATCCAATACAACATATTACTGAGTACCACTCTCCATATTCTCAAGCATTGTGGTGGCTGCATCATCGTATGGGTATGCTTGTAATCGTTAAGGACTGGGGAGTTTTTCAGGATAAAAAATTAATGGAATGGACCTAAGAACAGGCAAAATCCTAGAGGAAAACCTGGTTCAGTTTGCTTTCCACCAGACACTGGGAGATGAATTCACCTTTTAGCAGGACAATAACCTAAAACACAAGGCCAAAACTACACTGGAGTTGCTTACCAAGAAGACAGTGAATGTTCCTGAGGGGCTGAGTTACAGTTTTGACTTAAATCTGCTTGAAAATCTATGGCAAGACCTGAAAATGGTTGTCTAGCAATGATCAACAACCCATTTGACAGAGGTTGAAGAATTTTGAAAAGAATAATGAGCAAATGTTGCACAATCCAGGTGTGGAAAGTTCTTAGAGACTTACCCAGAAAGACTCACAGCTGTAATTGCTGCCAAAGGTGATTCTAACATGTATTGACTCAGGTGTTTGAATACTTATGTAATCAATATATATTAGTGTTTTATTTTTCTTCAGCTTTGACATTACACAGTGTTTTGTGTAGGTTGTTGACGAAAAAATTACAATTAAATCCATTTTAATCCCACTTTGTAACACAACAAAATGTGGAAAAAGTTAAGTGGTGTGAATACTTTCTGAAGGTATTGTTCTTCTGGAAAGTATTCAGACCCCTTGACTTTTTCCACATTATGTTACGTTCCAGTCTTATTCTAAAATCTACACACAATACCCCATAATGACAAAGTGAAAACAGGTTTTTAGAAATTTTGGCAATATGTTAAAAAAAATACAAAAAGTATTCAGACCCTTTGCTATGAGACTCGAAATTGAGCTCAGGTGCATCCTGTTTCCATTGATCAACCTTGAGATGTTTCTACAACTTGATTGGACTCCACCTGTGGTAAATTCAATTGATTGGATATGATTTGGAAAGGCACACACCTGTCTATATAAGGTCCCACAGTTGACAGTGCACGTCAGAGCAAAAACCAAGCCATGAGGTCGAAGGAATTGTCCATAGAGCTCCGAGACAGGATTGTGTCGAGGTACAGATCTGGGGAAGGGTACCAAAACATTTCTGCAGCATTGAAGGTCCCCAAGAACACAGTGGCCTCCATCATTCTTAAATGGAAGAAGTTTGGAACCACCAACACTCTTTCTAGAGCTGGCCGCCCAGCCAATCTGAGCAATCGGGGGAGAAGGGCCTTGGTCAGGGAGGTGACCAAGAACCCGATGGTCACTCTGACAGAGCTCTAGAATTCCTCTGTGGAGATGGGAGAACCTTCCAGAAGAACAACCATCTCTGCAGCACTCCACCAATCAGGCCTTTATGGTAGAGTGGCCAGACGGAAGCCAATCCTCAGTAAAAGGCACATGACAGCCCGCTTGGAGTTTGCCAAAAGGCACCTAAACTCTCTCAGACCATGAGAAACAAGATTCTCTGGTTTGATGAAACCAAGATTTAACTCTTTGGCCTTAATGCCAAGCGTCACGTCTGGAGGAAATCTTGCACTATCCCTACAGTGAAGCATGGTGGTGGCAGCATCATGCTGCAGGGATATCAGCAGCAGGGCCTGGTAGACTAGTCACAATCGGGACAACGATGAACAAAGAGATCCTTGATGAGAGACTAGTCAGGATCGAGGGAAAGATGAAAGGAGCAAAGTACAGAAAGATCCTTGATGAAAAACTGCTCCAAAGCGCTCAGGACCTCAGACTGGGGCGAAGGTTCACCTTTCAACAGGACAACGACCCTAAGCACACAGCCAAGACAACGCTGTTGAAAAGTTCAAGGGGTCTGAATACTTTCTGAAGGCACTGTATATACCAGATTCATGTAAACTTGGGGATCAGGCTGCTCATTGAGATCTCTAACTGTTTTGAAAACAGCCCCCTTCATTATCAACGCATCTTGCCGACAACATTAAAACAGCCTTTCCAGACTCTGAAGTCAGGACTTCGAGTTTGGTATCATCCAGACTATAATTTATGAGCAGCAGAGGATAAATAAAGTAAGTAAAGTATGATATACAGTATAGTAGACTAAGGCTATCCATACTCCAAACCTGTGAAGATATTTCAGTGCCCTTGATATGTGATATATACAGTATATTTGACAAAAACCCAATAACATAGCTGCTACTGTATGTGTATGGTGACTAAAAGTTCACAGGAGATGGATATTTTGAGATGAAGGTACAGTATAAGCCATTCCCACGAAAAACATGTCACTCAAAAAGGAAAAGGTTGGCACTAGCTGTGCCTTCAGGAAGCTACTGGGTAGATTTTCATTTCCCTCTGAATAACAAGTGTTAGATGGAGCAGTGAAGGAAACCAATCATTTAACGTCTTCAAGGAAAAACGAATGAAAACAAAAACATGACGACTGTAGTCTACACTATAGCCTATGTGTGCCGCAATAAGATAATGTGAAATCATTGTGACATTGTAGGCTATTAATCATTTTAAAAATTTCCTCCAGTGACCATTGCACGATTATACGTTCTGGTTGTTTAATTGCTATACTGAATAGCCTACTGTAAAAGTATTTTAAACCATGATAAATGCTTACCTGTTGAAGAATCAGATGAGTTCACTGCAACCAGGGAGGTGTGATCATACAAGACCGACACGTTATAGAAATCCATTGATAACTTCCGAGGTAATCTCAATCAAATCTGGGTGAAGGAAAAAGATCTACAAGTGTTTATGCTCAGGGGAAAATTCTCAAGCTGTTAATAATGCAACTGTCTTCCTGTTTTTAAATAATATTGTAGTGGCTAGAACTCACTGATAAAAAATTATAATATTTACAGTTCCATCTTGCACATTAAAATTATAGTAGTATTATAGTAGTATTAAATACCTTCAAGCATACCACTCCATTGTATTCATGCAATCCATCAAAATATAATAAACGTTCCCGCTCTTGTAGTGTACTTTACTGATTAGTAGCATCCTTTGCACGAGCTGGATGGAGTGTAGTCTGGCGCGCAATGAGTCTTCAAGCTTTTTACTAGGAGACTGATAATTCCTGCAGCTGCACGACGCTACTGTATGGTCTATTTGCGACTGCGCTCTTCGTCTTTCATTGGCTGAGGATGAAGTTTCAAGGATAACTCTTCTGTTTAGAAGTCTAGCGGACTGGCACCATTGAGATACGGCTGTATCTGTTGTCTTGACTCACATGTCGATGTGTTTATTTAATGCATTTTGACAGCCACATCAAAGAACAAGGAGGGCCAAGGTACCTTTTTGTGCTATTGAAAGCCTTAAAAACTCTTTCAAATGTAATAAAGATTGTGTTCCATTTTAACATGGCACCACAATAAAGGCATTTTAATAGCATGTAGAGTGATTGGTCCTCCTTGTTCTTTGATGACCAATAGCCTAACCCGAAAGAGTACCTTCACCAACATACTGTACATTTTTGAAGCTCTAGCATATCCAATCCCGGACCCTATTGCTTCCCTTCGTTCTTTTTTGTGACAAAATGAAAGCTAACATTTTCCACCCAATTTTTAACAAATTGGGAACTTACAGGTAGCCTAACTACCTAAATAAAGGAAACACCAACATAAAGCATCTTACTAGGACGTTGGGTTACCAAGAGCCAGAACAGCTTCAATGCACCTTGGTTGGCATCATTGCGTCTCATAGAAGTGACGCCATCTAACGCCAGACAATGCCTACAAGTGTCTGGAACTCTATTGGAGGGATGCAACCATTGAGATCTTAAGTATTCTAATTGCTAATTCTATGGATGCAACACCATTCTTCCACGGATTCCATTTGGTGTTTTGTTGATGGTGGTGGACAGAGTGCTAATTATACCGTGAGTTTCGGGGGTCTCTATTTTTTTCACGGGACCTCCTGTGCACAAACATTTCTATGGGCCTAATAGTAAAGACATGTCATTTAACTTTAAGAAGAAAAAAATATATACCTTTTAATTTGGCATGAAAACAACCAATCATGATGTTTTAATCTTATTGTCAAACTAATCACCTCAAAAAGTCAGCAGACAAAACAATAATCACTAAAAATAGAAATCACCCAAAAATAAATATTAGACACTGTTAAAACATTTGTGTGGAGAAGATATCATTTTATTTGACATTCTGGGACAAAGTAGTTCCCCTATTTACTCAAATGACAACACACATGTCACTCAATTCAGTGCTTCCACGTTCCATGGATCAAACAGTTATTTCAGTTATATTAAAACCAGGAAGATTTGGCTAGTCCCCTGCAGATTACAGCTCCATAAATGTAATACATTGCAACACTAAACTCATAACAGAATGGAAAAAGTCTTACCAGACTTTATACATATGAATCAAGAAGGGTTTATTAAAAATAGAAATTTACAAAAAAATTAAAGAACATGATGTTTCAGTATAATACAATATGCTAAAAAACAAGATGTAGATTGATCAATAATGGCTGTTGATGCCAGACCATCTTGAATAGCCTTTTATATTAAAAACTTTGGAAGACTTCAACTCTCCATCTGAAATAATACATTTCATAAATATATTATATAAATATCCTAAATCAAAAATATACACAAATAATACAATATCTGATGAAATTGCTTTAGAAAGAGGCACGAGACAGGGATGTTCATTCTCTGCCTCTCCTGGTTTTGCACTGGCACTTGAAACCGGCTTGCAGAAATAATTAGACAGGGACCGCAAACATAAACAGGTATCAGTTTTGTAGAACCAGGAGTTAGAAACTTAAACTATTGGTACCTAGATGAATTACAGCTCTCTCATCGTTTTAATGGGAGAACTTGCCCAATTTGGGTGGCTGACAAATACTTTTTCTCACTATAAATCCTGACTAATATTGAAAACTCATGCAAGCTTGTTCAATTTTCAATATCTCAAATTTCAAGTATAAATCAATGTGGGAAAACTGAAAAAATGGCAATAGGAAAAAGAAAAGGAATAACTCATGATCTACAGCAATCCTTTAAGTGGACCACAAAAAATCTGACATACTTAGGATGCTTAATAAGTGATGACAAACAACAAATATATAAAGATAACTTTATCCCATTACTCAAAAACATGAAAGCAGATCTGATTAAATGGAACAATTTTCCCATAAATCATACAGGTATAATAAACCTCTTCAGAATGGCAAGGCTCCCAAAGTTTGTATATTTGTTTTCGGTAATAATAATTACCCCACGGAAGACACTATTTAAAAAAGTATAGTTGGCAATAACAGACTTAATATGGGCAAATAAAACTCATAGAATAAATAGGAAAGTTTAACATTTCCCTAAGTCTGAGGGTGGTTTTCACCTTCCAGACTTGGAATTGTATCAACTCGCCACCCAAGGCTTTTACTTGCGACATATTGTTAAATGCACTAAAGGGAAACAATGGGTACAGTGAGGGAAAAAAGTATTTGATCCCCTGCTGATTTTGTACGTTTGCCCACTGACAAAGAAATGATCAGTCTATAATTTTAATGGTAGGTTTATTTGAACAGTGAGAGACAGAATAACAACAACAAAATCCAGAAAAACGCATGTCAAAAATGTTATACATTGATTTGCATTTTAATGAGGGAAATAAGTATTTGACCCCCTCTCAATCAGAAAGATTTCTGGCTCCTAGGTGTCTTTTATACAGGTAACGAGCTGAGATTAGGAGCACACTCTTAAAGGGAGTGCTCCTAATCTCAGCTTTTTACCTGTATAAAAGACACCTGTCCACAGAAGCAGTCAATCAATCAGATTCCAAACTCTCCACCATGGCCAAGACCAAAGAGCTCTCCAAGGATGTCACGGACAAGATTGTAGACATACACAAGGCTGGAATGGGCTACAAGACCATCGCCAAGCAGCTTGGTGAGAAGGTGACAACAGTTGGTGTGATTATTCGCAAATGGAAGAAACACAAAATAACTGTCAATCTCCCTCGGCCTGGGGCTCCATGCAAGATCTCACCTCGTGGAGTTGCAATGATCATGAGAACAGTGAGGAATCAGCCCAGAACTACACGGGAGGATCTTGTCAATGATCTCAAGGCAGCTGGGACCATAGTCACCAAGAAAACAATTGGTAACACACTACGCCGCGAAGCACTGAAATCCTGCAGCGCCCGCAAGGTCCCCCTGCTCAAGAAAGCACATATACAGGCCCATCAGAAGTTTGCCCTTTGAACATCTGAATGATTCAGAGGAGAACTGGGTGAAAGTGTTGTGGTCAGATGAGACCAAAATCGAGCTCTTTGGCATCAACTCAACTCGCGTGTTTGGAGGAGGAGGAATGCTGCCTATGACCCCAAGAACACCATCCCCACCTTCAAACATGGAGGTGGAAACATTATGCTTTGGGGGTGTTTTTCTGCTAAGGGGACAGGACAACTTCACCGCATCAAAGGGACGATGGACGGGCCCATGTACCGTCAAATCTTGGGTGAGAACCTCCTTCCCTCAGCTAGGGCATTGAAAATGGGTCGTGGATGGGTATTCCAGCATGAACAATAACCCAAAACACACGGCCAAGGCAACAAAGGAGTGGCTCAAGAAGAAACACATTAAGGTCCTGGAGTGACCTAGCCAGTCTCCAGACCTTAATCCCATAGAAAATCTGTGGAGGGAGTTGAAGGTTCGAGTTGCCAAACGTCAGCCTCGAAACCTTAATGACTTGGAGAAGATCTGCAAAGAGGAGTGGGACAAAATCCCTCCTGAGATGTGTGCAAACCTGGTGGCCAACTACAAGAAACGTCTGACCTCTGTGATTGCCAACAAGGGTTTTGCCACCAAGTACTAAGTCATGTTTTGCAGAGGGGTCAAATACTTATTTCCCTCATTAAAATGCAAATAAATTCATAACATTTTTGACATGCGTTTTTCTGGATGTTTTTGTTGTTATTCGGTTTCTCACTGTTTAAATAAACCTACCATTAAAATTATAGACTGATCATGTCTTTGTCAGTGGGCAAACGTACAAAATCAGCAGGGGATCAAATACTTTTTTCCCTCACTGTAGATATTGAAGATGTGCATACTCATCCCCAGAATATTTTCACATATCTGTTTTCAAAGGATGGAGCTAAGAACATTAACAATGTGTCTCCCGAGTGGAGCAGTGGTCTAAAGGCACTGCATCGCAGTGCTAGCTGTGCCACTAGAGATCCTGGTTCGTATCCAGGCTCTGTCGTCGCCGGCCGCGACCGGGAGACCCATGGGGTGGCGCACAAGTCGTCCAGGGTAGGGGATGGAGTGGCCTGCAGGGATGTAGCTCAGTTGGTAGAGCATGGCGTTTGCAATGCCAGGGTTGTGGGTTCGTTTCCCACGGGGGGCCAGTATGAAAAAAAAAAAGGGGAAAAAAAGAATAATAATGTATGCACTCACTAACTGTAAGTCGCTCTGGATAAGAGCATCTGCTAAATGACTAAAATGTAAATGTAACAACTTCACAGTTAACACTTTAACAATATGAGGGAATTCTATTTAAGTCAGAAAATGATACTCATATGATAGGTAAGATATACAAAACCTTACAGAAAGCCTATCCAACAGACAATCTCTTAGTATAAACTATTGGAACGAAGACTTAAAAAGAACTGATATTGGCACAAGATGAAGGGAGTTTTAACCAACATAACCAACCATGGCCGGT